AACCCCAACAAGTTAAAAATTCTGGGCTTCACCATAGACAGGAAATTAAGTTGGCAACCTCAAATTGATAAAACGTGTAAAAAGTTATCTAGAGTTTTCTTTCTGCTGCGTAGGCTAAAGAATAGCTTAAGTGAAGCATTTCTTACAAACATCTACCACGGACTGTTCCATAGTCACATCACTTACGGCATACTTCTCTAGGGCCATGCTTCAGGGTGTGATGAAATGCTCAGGCTACAAAAATCTGCCTTGAGAGCCACAACATCTAATAGCGCTCCTTTGGAACACTCTAAGCCAATCTTTATAAGGCTAAAGGTGCATACTGTTATTGGGCAGTATATATTCTCCTCCCTTGTACAGGTCGGACATTGAGCTACTAAAGACCAGAGATGAGATGTTCATAGCTACAATACACGTAGCAGAAGCAAAATTGATATTCCTAGATTCTGCCTCACGGGAACACAGCAACCTCAACGTAGGTTGCTTTATTATTGTTTTATTAAGTACATGAGTTTCTTAGTGTTGTTGTTGTTGTTGTACAGGAAGTATTTGTTTAGGTTTTCAGTTACCTTTTCTATTGATTTGCCATACATTAAGTTTGATTGCAGTTTAAAGAAATTTGAGAGGGTTCTGTCGTGTGAGTATTTCATTCGTAATTGGGTGTTTATGTCTATGTAGGGTTTTAACCAACATGATTCGTTAAATGAAATGACTCTATGGACTTTCTCTAGTATCATGCCCATTGACAGAGCTTGTTCTAAGGTCTTGTAATGGATCACGTAATGTTTTCTATCTTTGAAAGAATATATTAATGTACCTTCATCGTGGCAAGGGCATAGTGGATAGTCTATGTGATCGGTATTGTAAGGATATTTTAAATCTACTTCTAAAATGTAACCTGTACCATTGTTATTGGTGGTGGTGTTATTGTTAAATGTTGATGGTGAAATCCATTTGAAATTGTCAAGTGGAAGTGGTTCTGTTGACATTATAGTGGCATATAGACCAATTATATCGTAAAAGTATATAAATTAATCTGGTTCTGAGGCGTTATAGTTTGGAGGAGTGTTGTGGTTTGATTTCGCATAGCTTTTGATTGCACATGTATATCCACCTCTTATACCTTTCATTATCATGTTGTATATGTCTATGTCGTTTAAAAGTTCTATTTGGACTTTAGTGACTTTGAGCATGACGTCGAAACAGTAAGAACCTATTGTCAGGTAGTGAAAGATGTCGAGATTATAGTTTTCTATACAGATTGATCGTATAGTTTCTAGTTGATGGAATGGTATATCATCGGGGATGAATTGGAAGAAATCTAAACACTTCATTGTCGTGTTCTTGATTCTTTTTGATATGCACAAGAACTTCTCTCTCTGTCCCTTGAATGGCATGAATTTTATGTATGCATTGGATGTGGTGAAGTAGTTTAACAGTTCTATTCCAAAATCTTTAATTATTATAGGAACAAAGTGTGGTAGACGATAGTTAAAGTTACATGTTGAATGGGCGTAACCTCTTACTTTTCCATTTACGTGATTATGGTCAAGGACATAGTCGTTGTCAAGAACATGACCACATATGTGACAGGTGACATTGATTTGTGGTTTGGGTGGATAACAGTTGGGAGGGATATTTCTTTTATATATCCTTCCTATTGATTCACATTAATTTTTTAATGAAATCATGAATGACGATATGTCTGGAAAGGTAAGTGTACGTATTATTTTACTTGATTCATCTATGATATTGTATGTGAGACTTTATATTGAGTATGTCCCTATACGATGAGTGAATGATGTATTTGGATTTTTGTAACAATTACACATGTAATTGTTTTTGTACAATAGTATATCTCGATGATCATGTTTTCTTTGGGGTGTCACTTTTAGGGGAATTATTTTTGTATTCTTACTGTCTAGTGTGTAGACGTTAATTGAAATATTCTTTGTGGTTTCAAATACTTGTATCTCGTCAAGTTAGACAGGAAAGGAAATGCACCATTTATAACGATTACTTATAGATACATATTTGAAGTAATCTAAAATGTTGTGGTAATCCTTTTTAGAATCTGCTAATAGTTTACCCATTATGGCTATTTTGAAGCATATGTTGTTACTACAACATTTAGTTTTCATACTACTTGTACGAAAAGGGTTTACAAGAGATTTCTTACCATTTATGAAAGAGGGTAGTTTGATTCTTTTGTAACAGTGTGATCCCCAAACTGGTTCGTATCTGTTTATGCGAAGTTCAAGTTTGACTATCGTGTAAATTGCCCAACCTGATCCACGTATTTCTAAATTAGATTTTTCAAGTAATAACTTTTCTATATTACTTGTATATTGTTGATTTAAATCAGTTAAACTGAAACCCGTAAGGTTTTGAGTTTTAAAACTTTTTGTTTGTAACTCATCTTCAGATTTTGAAAACTTACATTCTAACAACATGTTATATTTTATACTTCCATGTATTTGTTGATAGTGTTTTAGTTGGTAAATTACATTATCAACCACTCCATATAAGTTTTAATACAAATGAAACCATTTAGATTGCCAGCTTTTAGAGTAACAAGTCTACATTTGGCAGCTGATTCAACTTCAATAAAATGGTTTTCAAATGTAGCGTCGTGTTCATGTTCATTACCAAGTGTAGGATCATAAAGAGTTCCACACACTTCACAGAGTAATATCATGATTAAAAATAAAACCACCAACCACCAAGCATTGGTTTAAATATTAGAAATTTGTGAAATGATGTTTTGTATTGATTTACTTTCTAATTACTATATTTTTCATTTATTATTCTTGTTTATGCAAGACGAGTAGTACAATCAGATAATGGTCTATTTAGTTTTAAATAAATGTCATATATTTTATTGTTTTCTAAATTAAACATATTTTGAATGTTGACATCTATTCTTAAACAGCCTAAACATTTAAAATCTTTATTATTCAAATGAAATGCAATACATAGTTTTCTATTGTTTCTTTAACTTTTTCTGATACAAAGTCTTGTATATTTTTACATGTACTCCATGAGAGAGTATTTTGAAGACAAATGGTAGAGTGCACATCACCTCCGTAGTCACCCACCAAGTTTTATTTCTATTTTTTTGAATCTTTTAAATTTATTTCCTTGAAAGATACATGTTTTATTTTGTTGTAAATAGTTTATATTTATATTTAAAATTGACGCAGCTTATCCAGCTATGCTGGTCAACAACGCAGCTTTGGTAATAAGGTAAAATGTTTTGACCTCTGGGGAGATAATAGCTTTTTACGTAGAAGTGTAGTAAGAGCGTTTTTACATCACGCAGGTGAATGTTGTGCAACGAGCGAAGCGATTTACATAATTCACCTAAGTGATGTAAACACGCTCCTTGCGTAACGTGTAACGTACAAGATTTGACCTGACCCGTCAATATGCGGGGGGTTAGTACAATATTTTGCATGTACCCGCAATATACATGACGGGGTGTAAATAAGTTAATCTAAATATAATATTTGGCTCTGTTCTGGTGGCAGCCTTACACCTCATGTTTGAGGAGGTAAAGTGGATTTTTATTTTAACAAAGCAATTAATTGAAATATCATATCAACAAAAATTAACACCATGTCTACTTTATTACATGACTACGTATAGTCGTGGACACACCAAAATTACAAAAAGCACAAAGTTACCTATATTAATCCTGTACTTAATTTTTTTACTGCAAAACCACCGGCACAACAAAACTAACGTACTACCACTAACTAACGAACTACCCTCTAAAACCAACTGACGTTATCGCTGCCAGGATTGCCACTGTCGTGTTCCAAAGTTACAAATTTTGCCATTATGGTCGGGACGTCAAATAGAGGGACAGACCTATTTTGTCATGGTAGTCAGTTTGCAAAAAAATTATTATATGCTCCTTTTTGTAAGTTTAATAACTTTTGATGAGATAAAAATATATTATATATTTATATATTTTTCCACCAGTGTGGACATCTATGGAATGAGCTCCCAGATCTTGAAGGGTGTGATTAATGATATTGTTGACCCCTTATCCCTAGTTATTAACACCTGTTTGGCTCATGGGATATTCCCTGAAGAATTAAAGACCGCAAGAGTTGTGCCAGTCTATAAGAAAGGTAACATGCCTCTATCGCCAGCTATCGTCCAATTGCTATTCTTCCTGTGATATCTTAGGTTTTTGAAAGGGTCAGGTATGATCAACTGGTCGAACATCTGGACCAGAATAAACTCTACTCGGATGCTTTATATATTTCGGCATGAATTATACAGAACCCCCCAAATCTAATCTATCACTACTCTAATCTAATCTATCTTAGACTAATCTATTATTAGTCAAAAATAGCGGGAATGTTCATTTCATATCATTTCATTTATTTCATCAGCAAAATTGCCAGTTTTATACATGGTCATTTCAAAATAGACATTATAACTGTGCAACAAATTTCACTAGCAAAGGCAAAGAACAATATGTTTAACAATACAACAAAAGAAACAATAACAGATCAGTCAACGAGAAATATCAATACATACAATAACAATGCAAAAAATTGATAAGAGAACAGAAACAGAGCAACAAATTTCAATAAATTAATTTACAATACGATAATAAACACTAACAAGATCCAAGCAAACAGAAACAGTAACTTTTTCCATTCTAGGCAGCAATGGAATGTTCCACCCTAGGGACACGTGATAGACGTGAATTTCGAGACTTTTTTTTAATACGAAAAATTTTCCTAGAACCTACTTAAAACGAAGTAAATGTTTTTAACATGTTGCCCCCGTCTCAAAAAATATTGAAACTTATAATGATATACTACAAATACAGTATCTACGAAGTAAAAGGCCAGGGACATTAAAACGTACGTTTCAAAATTTTCACTCGACCACGTCTCTCCCACCGCTCTTGTCGGAATAATGTTCTCTTTTTGTACTCTTTTACTCTTGTATACTTTATGCCTCTAAATTCAGTGGAATTATTGTGATCGTCTCAACACCTCGTCCACCACGCCATGAAGACTACCAGACTGATTGAGGGCCCTCACTTCACAGCGACGTCTCAGCTTGGAACTCTCTACTCACGATTTAGTTGTACAGGTACTTTTAAATGGTCCTTCGGTTGCTTAGAATTACTCACAACATTTAACAAAGACCTCAAACAAACTGGAAAGCATTTTGAACAAAAGGCTACAAATAAAAAAAAGAAATATGAAACATGCGGGGTATATAAATTAGCCATCAACAACTGCCCAAAATTTTACATTGGACAAACTAGGAGGTCTTTCAAAAATACGGTTCAATGAACACCTGCCAAAAAACAAAGTAATCAAAACTTAAAATTATGCAGATAATTTAATTAACACCAATCATAATTATTCTACGATAGACGAGAACCAACAAATTCTCCATAGATGCAACGACAGAAGCAAAATAGCAGCATTAGAAAATTTCTAAATTTATAAAGCAGCAAAATCCGTCGGCAACAACCTTTTAAATGGCAAACTAAATAGCCAGGAAAACGCGTTGTTTGATACAATAATTATTAGAGTAAACCAGGAATCAGCTGACCGACACGTCACGTGACCTTGTAATGGACACTGCAATGCCAGTCGCCGCCGGCCCGACCAAATGCATGCACACACCACGACGGTTGATCAATTAAATGCTATGTCTTATTACGTGTGTTCTGTGTTTTCTATTTTAATATTATGACGAACCTGAGAAGAGGATAAACCTGATGATGTCGCAGTCGCCACAAAACATGTAGTTTGTTTACTAACATCAAACAAGGCTATTGTAAGGTAACAAAATAATTTTATTTTTATTATTACAACTTTCATCTACTCACTGCTCTATTCCCTCACCTATCAAAGCAAATCCTTCAGTTGATGATTTGGAGGCAAGTACTCTGTCAACAGCGTCCTCCAGACTCTTGGGTAAACCAGCTGTTTGCATCGCCTTCCACATTTTGGTGAACTTATCTCCCACAGGGTAGCGCCACAACGCCAACTCTGACCTCTCTTGGCCACTCATGTTCTCCTTGGTAACCAAATGCATCCATTCTCTAAAATAGTAAAATCTTAAGATTATAGGTAGTTGATAATTTAGGGGTTCAACTATTTTGTTTTCAAATAATTTGAGTTGGTTGACTTAAATTAATAGTGTGGAAAATTTGGTAGGTAAACATATTAATTACATTTTAGCGAATTTTTCTATGCACCAAAGAAATGAACCAAGACCAATTAACTTTTAATCGTGTTTATCTCCCCAGAGGTTAAAACTCTTGTTTGTTAAAACTTTAGGGATTTCACTGTGGGGAAGAAGCTATTACCCTAGAGTGCACGGAAAGACCTATGCCCAGGACCTCTTTGCTTTTTCATTTTGATGCCTCTAGACGCCAAAATCACTATTTGTTCCAACACAAACACACACACACACACACACACACACACCCACACACACATATATATAAGTCCCGGGACGGTTTAACATTTAAAAAAGTAATAAAGATAGAGCTTCAAAACTTGGTACACAGTTAATGGGCATTAAAATTATTTTAACACATTATTTAGTGAGACAGTTTGCTAGGAGTCAGAATAAAATCTTAAATGTAAGCATATTATAAATAATTATTAACACATTATTACTAACTCAAACGAACAACCGAGTCAAAAACGGCAGCCATTCAAAGATTTTTGAATATAAAGACCTTTAATTATATGTGCATATTGACCTATGCATGCGTGTAATATTCTCTTCCAACTTCTATCGGGGCCCTGAGGAGGTAGGAGGTAGCGTAAAATCAAGGCTACTGAAAAAGAGGTTGCCTCAGTCGCGCGTATGGCGTAACCCACCAACCCGGACTGTGCTGCTTTTAATGCACACAGCTACCACCTGTCCAATTCTGTGTTATTGTTGTTTGTTTTTGTGTAAGTTCTGTGAAAATAAATAAATGAAAAACAAACAACAATAACAAAGAATTTGACAGGTCGCAGTTGAGTGAATTAAAAGCATCACCGTCCGGGTTGGCGGGTGACGTCATATGCGTGACTGAGGCAACCTCTTTTTCCTTGGCGTATAATAGCAATAGCATAGCAACTTGATAGCAACTGAATCTTTGAATAGGTGTAATTTTTTACTTGGTTGTCCTTTTGAGTTTGAGTTTACGGCATTGTATTTTACTAACAAATACCTTCAATTTAACTGCATATCAACCTATGCTTACATCTAAGATTTTCTTCTGACTCCTAGCAGACCATCCCCATGAAGAGGTAGCACATAACTGAATAAATGATTTTATGATCAGCATCGTACGTGTTATTAAATTACTTGAAACTACAAACTTACGTCAAATATAACACGTAATAATACGAGGGCTACCCAGAAAGTAAGGAACTTCGCCCTGACGCTGCTATAGGCGCGGGTTAGGGTTCACACTACGAACCATAGAAACTATGAGCCTCTAAATATGCATTTTTTAAATACATAGCTTACCTACTCTACAGATCATAGTGCATTAGCGTTAGTCATTAGTGTTAAGCGATTGGACTAATTTTTAATTCACGAATAAGCTTGTATAGTATACAAGCCAAAATACTGAATTTATATCAATTATATGAAAAGGCTCGTATTTGATACGAGCCTATATCATGATAAATTTCACAAAAATAGTAGACGGCTCACTTACACTACGGCTCATTTAGCTACTCGTCGCGCAGTTTGCAGCGCATCGTTGAAGGCGTTGTACTAGACGTGCCGCGAGAAAGAGTGCAATTAGCTGATGTTAATCTATTGTTTTAAGCAGTTTTATTAGTGTACTTGATGGGGCCGGCATATGACTTATGTGGGAAGGTCGACATATTCCTTAGACACAGCTGTTAATTAATAGCCCATACAGCTAATGGCAACTAAGGGACCTACAGATTATAGTGGAGTCCAAACCACATTTTTCCTTGTAATTAACGAATTGGTCTATTATCAGGATAGTACTGCGGATAGTCGTAGTACTCACTAGTGTGAACGTTCATCCACACCAGGTACTACTTGTCGTAGGTACAACTAGACACAAAAGTAGAGGTACAACTAGACGGTGGCATACCCGACAAGCTGTACCTGCAAATTTTTAAGAGGTACAACTAGTCGTAGAAACAAATAGACGCAGGGACAACAAGACGCGTGCGCCACTGTCAAGTTATATCTACAGATATTGGACGAGGTAGACACCTGTCGCCAAAATGCAGCAGGTACATGTAGACGCCAGTACAATTATACTGCGACCCTTACAAGCCCATTCCTATAATTTATATTAATTCAGGATTTTGGCTCGTATACTAAACGACTACTGTTCTCTGAAATATAAGACACAAGGCTCATTGTCACTATGATCTGTAGAGTAAGTGAACCCTCTTAATTTATTTTATTTTTTTCGATAGACTCGTACAACATAGGAGCCTGTAGTGCAAGTGAACCTTCCATATTATTTACAAGGAATTCCGGCAACCCGAACAGGAGGGGGCAATATCAGAAAGAGACGACACTTTAAGTGCTTTTCCCATAAGAATTACATGGGAATCATTTTTTAGCCACTAATTCCAAAAATCCAGATTTTTGTCTACATATCCCTATATAATTGTCAAACCTTATAAATATTACTGGTTTTCACTTATTCAATATATATATATATATATTTTTATAGTTTTGTTAACTTTTTAGAGCTACTTTTCAATGAATATGTAAAATAATAAAAATGAATTTCATGGTAATCTGGTGTCTATTATTTTACTTATATATATATATATATATATTCGTTATCAAGCTAAAAAAAGCAAATTCTTTCATTTATTGACCTTTACAAGTGTAAATGTAAAGTAGGGGCAATACCAGAACATCACACTTAAGGCACTTTTTCCCATAAGAATAACATGGTGGACATTTTTTAGCCACTTATAAAAAATCCTGCCCACGGCCTATACACTTCTATACAAATGTTCTATACTATTGTACAACTCCATTAACAGTTCAAATCCATATCCATTCACATGTATATTTTCAAAATCATCGACTTGACAGTGTGAGGATTGCACCCGAACTCGGGCGCGCTCCCGGCCTATCGGCACTGCCGCGGTCACGAGCAAGCTCTCGCTTCTTGCTTCTCGTCTCTAGTGGCAGCTCATGATTGAGTCCTGGGTGGGAAACCTTCCAAACCTAATCTCTTGTTAAAACAATATATATTTCATTTTTTATTTATGTTACAATTTCTTAATTTCTAGTTCACAATTTTGAAATTTATGTTAGTTTCTTAATTTCTAGTTAAACATTTTGAAATTTTCCAAAAGTCTATATATAGAGGTGACATTAGTCCGAGACCTCATTCCTAAACATGAAGCCATCATGTCAATACTGCTTCGTGTCGCTCTCCAACAAAAGAAACCTGATTCTCCACTACAAGTTAATACATCAAATTAAGACGAAACTGTGCAAAGTTTGTGATTTAATCTGTGATAGTAACATGGCCCTAAAATCACATATATTACAGTCACAATACTTGTAAAAAAAATTTTGTTGGACATTTAGAAGACATGTCAATTCTTGCAACAACTGTCCATATACAATGATTAAATTTGTTGGTGAATCGATTAGAACTGAACTTAAAAATACTCTCCAGTCTTATCCTCTGCCGATAAAATGGACTTAAGTAAGGAAAATCAAATTTATAAAATATACAATAGATCAAAATGAAAAATTAGTTAATGGAAAAGAATGTATTGCGGATTTTAGAAGCCTTATCACCTTAACTATTGAGAAAAGAGATTTAATACCTCAAATTGAAAATGCTCTTTTAAAGACTGACGCATCCATGCACAAATATCAAGCCCAAGATAGTGGATGGATATATGACCATACTAAATATTGGCAGCTGCATGTTTACAAGTATAAGCCTCTAACTTTAAAGTCATATATATCCCCACACCAAAAAGTATTCTAGGAACCTAGCATTTTGCACACTTATAAGTAGCAGCCCATTCTTTTAAATTCTCATATCTTTTTTATATGACAAGTAATTGTAGTTTCTTCTCCATTAAAGTCAATTGCCTTGTCGTGCTAATCGGCAAATGTAATATTGACAACATCTAAACTTCTCTTATTTACAGGAAAATATATAATATTTCTTGGAACTTCAATAATTGTGTAGCCAGGAGGAGCTTCTGGATAAAAGTTGTGTATGGTGTGTGATTTGTTATTATTTAAATATGACTCATTTGCAATATTACATTTTACTCTAATCACATTTACATTATTAATGTTTATTAAATTTGTAGATACAAATGGGACACCAGGAGTAGAAACTCCTTTAAATCCCAATAAAACTAACCCTAAACAAGGTTTTGTCAAATCAAACACATGGCTAGAATGTAATGGGGAAAGGGGGTTGAAGCGGAAACTGTATTAAATGAAACCTAATTCCTTAGTTTTAAGATTATTTGTATAATATATAAGCTTAGATTTTGTAAATAAATAATGAAAAAAAACAATTTAACTAATAATTAGAACTATTCCATAATGTCTCAGCTTAGCTAAGACAGTGATGTAATAGTGTCAGCGATGAACCCTCTCTTCTGTTGATTCCCACGCACTAATCCACGTGTCTAGAAGGCATAAATTATGTTGACACAGGTGGTGAGGGGGGGACGATGGAAGCACCCCTTTTCTCCTTGTGACAAGCTATTTTCTCAACACTGTAGGGTAGGAGTACCTTCCACCACCTACACCATGTTTACTAAAAAATCTAATTGTAATTACTCATTACCACCTCGGAGGCGGAGGCGGAGGCATGTGTGAGGCAGAATAGATATTACTCATTACCTAGAAAAACTGCAATTACTCATAACCTAAAAGAAACTAATTGTAATTATTGATAAAAAATAATAATTGTAATTACTCATCACAAAAAAAATATTGTAATTACACATCAAACCTAATTGTAAATACAGTACTCATGAAAAAAAGCTAATTGCAATTTACCCAAACAAAAATTGTAATTACTCATTACGCGGAGTGTGGGGT